GGCAGTGCTGTAGAATCGGTGGGCGGGGCTAAACGGGCAGTGCTGTAGAATCTGTGGGCAGGGCTAAACGGGCAGTGCTGTAGATTCGGTGGGTGGGGCTAAACTGGAGGCGATGTAGAAGCAGGTGTTGCTCTTCTTCTGTGGAGGCGGAGTTTAGCCACACTATTATATCATAAAGTGTCACATTCCACAAGCTGTCGTTTTGGCAGATTGGCTTCAATATTAGCTGTTTAGACTAACAAGAAAGTTTTGAGTTCTGAAACTTGCTGTTTTTATGCTACATTGACCTCTTATATGTCAAAAGATCAAGGGAATTTTGATTTCTCAGTTCATGACCCCTTTAATATCAGTTTGAGCGTGTGCTATAAGTGAAGTGATCACTTAGTCACACACACACACACACACACACACACACACAGAGTACAGCGAGCGTTGCGTGGGCAGCAGCTGCAGTGACTCACAGTCCAGGAACAGCATCACTGACTCACTGCGCCCTCTGCTGGGGAACTCTAACAATGACTGTGTGTGTTTGTGTTCGCAGAGTTTTCTAAGTCGCCGTCTGAAAGGATCAATTAAACGAGCAAAGAGCCAACCCAAACTCGACCGTACAGGAAGCTTTCGCCACATGATCCTCCCACGATTCCGCAGCGCTGACCAGGAGAGGTACACACACCCCCACTCACTCACACACACACTCTCTCACACACACACTCTCACACACTCACACACACACACACTCACTCACACACACTCTCTCTCACACACACACTCTCACTCACACACACACTCACTCACTCACACACTCTCACACTCACACACACACACACACACACTCACACACTCACTCACTCACACACACACTCACTCACACACACACTCTCTCACACACACACTCTCACACACTCACACACACACACACTCACTCACACACACTCTCTCTCACACACACACTCTCACTCACACACACACTCACTCACTCACACACTCTCACACTCACACACACACACACACACACTCACACACTCACTCACTCACACACACACTCACTCACACACACACTCTCTCACACACACACTCTCACACACTCACACACACACACACTCACTCACACACACTCTCTCTCACACACACACTCTCACTCACACACACACTCACTCACTCACACACTCTCACACTCACACACACACACACACACACTCACACACTCACTCACTCACACACACACTCACTCACACACACACTCTCTCACACACACACTCTCACACACTCACACACACACACACACACTCACACACACACTCACACACGCACACTCACTCACTCTCTCACACACATACACACAGAGACTCTCAAACACACACACACACACTCTTTCACACACACTCTCACACACACACACACACACACACACACACAGTCACACAAACACACACACACACACTCACACACACTCAGACACACACACACACACTCACACTCCAACGCACACTCACTCCCTACTCACACAAACACACACACTCACACACTCACACACACACACACACACACAGACTCACACACACTCACTCACACACACACACACACTCTCACACACACACACACACACACACACATACACTGCTGCAGTGACTCACTCTCCCATTGTGCTTCAGTGAGTCACAGAGATGTACAGCACATGTAGAGCGTGCCGTCTGTCCGTCTGTGTGTGTGCAGGACGCGTCTCATGCAGAGCTTCAAGGAATCTCACTCTCATGAGTCCCTGCTGTCTCCCAGCAGCGCGGCCGAGGCTCTGGACCTCACGCTGGACGAGGATGCCATCATCAAACCCGTCCACTCCAGCATCCTCGGCCAGGAGTACTGCTTCGAGGTCTGTCTGTGTGATGCTCTCTGAATACACCTGAGATCTACAGGTCTTGGCCAAACCCTCACCACCCTCCAGACTATTAGAGAATAACACAACACGACTAACTAATTCAGTGTTAGCTCCTTACAAGAGGAGCTATTGGGTAACACTTTACAGTAAGGTTGCATTTGTTAATGTTAGTTAAGCTACATTATTACACATGAAGTAAAACTTAAAAATAATCCTAAAACATTAAGTAATCTCAATTATTCTTAATTGTATTATTTTTGTTTACATTTACTAATAAAATTTGATTGCTTTAATTTAAACTTATTTCATTTAGTTGCCAAGACAGTGTTTCTAATTTAATTTAGTTTTTTAGTTTTTTCCCCTTTTTTTTCAATACTAAAGTTTAGTGTTGTTTATATACTATTATAGATTTTATTAATAATTGAAATAGATTTTTATTTACATTTTTTTGTAGTAGTTGTTCATGCTTTTGTCATTTTTATTAGATTTTTTTTTTTTTTTAGTAAAACTATTATTGAGAGTTAATATTTTATTTCAAGTTTAGTTTGTATTTATTTATAGTTTTTTCCTCTTTTTTTCTTTTTTTTTTTACTTCAATTTAAATTTATTTCAGGCAACATTTCTAATTTTTTTCACATATTTATTTTATATCAGCTTTATTCCATGTATAATATTATTTATTAAACGGATAGTTCATCCAAAAATAATTCTAAAACAGTCATCTTAATGTTAATTTCTGCATTTATTAAGACTTTTTTAAGATTAAAAGTTGTTTTTGTTAATATTATTTAATGCACTGTGAACTAACATGAAGTTTTTATTAACTAACATTAACAAGAGTTAATAAATTCTGTAAAAAATATAGTGGTCATTGTTAACTAATGCAATAATAACTAATGTTAAAAAAATTTACCAAATTATTTAAAAACATAGTATTTAAAAAGCATAATTTATTAAATGCTTATTTTTAATAAGTAATTATTAATAATTACATCACTGTAAATTGTAATGCAAATAAACAGATGTCAATCAATTTTTCGCTCATAAATAACTATTGTTTTTAATGAAGAAAATGCAAAAACTTCTGGAATCACATTATTCCAGTTTCTATCATTCAAGTCGAGTCACGTTTATTTCTTTTGCGCTTTACACAATTTAAATAGAGCAGCTTCACAGGAGAATATGTGCACCACATCTGATTGGTGCTTAATGAAAGAGGGTTTTCTGTGAGGATGTCTCTGAAGCTTCGCTCGTCTTCTGTGCTTCAGGTGACCACTGCATCGGGCACCAAGTGTTTTGCGTGCCGCTCCGCTGCTGAGAGGGACAAATGGATCGAGAACCTGCAGCGAGCCATCAAACCCAACAAGGTACCATCACACTTTACATCACTGCATCAGTCACAGAGTGTTTAATGGGACAGATGTTAATATACGCCCGTGTGTGCAGAATGATATGGACTGTAGATAGTAAATGTGATGAAAGATCATTTGTCTTCTTACAGTAGCTCACATTCATATAGATGAGCTCAAAACTACAGTCATCAACAGCAATAATACTGAATGACATGGAGTCTTTTAATGAAGTCTCAGAACATTTATAAGACAAACCAGGACATTCAAAACTGAGAGCTGGGTTTGTGCTCCTTCAGCCAAGGTAAACTACTGCTAGCTGTTCCACCATTGGAACATGCTGTAGGTCGAGCCCCCTTCTCGAATGAGAGCTGGATGTTTGCTCCCTCAGCTACAGATTTACTGCTAGTCACTCCTGCATATTAGCCGTAGATTGACTTGATGACTTTTCAAACATAGCGTTTTGGGATGCTCCATTTCCATCTATGGGCTGCTCTTTCAGAGTGCTACGAGAACCCCTTAGAACGGTATTTTTAAATCCATGTTATGGTAAGTGTGCACGTAAAGTCTTTGTACACTTTCTAAAATCCACATAAGTGGTAAGTGTGCTCATTATGCTTTGCCCACTTTCTAAAATCCTGTACTGTAAGAGCTTTCCCTACTCAGGGAACCATGGTTACATAAGTAACCTGAGACGGTTATTAGCAGAGAACACAGAGCAGATCTTGAATTTCAGTGCGGGATTGCGGCTATTAATAATAATTCTACTCATTCCCGCAGGTTCCGAGCTTATAACACGATGACAGATGACGTATCATTTGCACGTGCTTTTGAGTCTTGAGAACTCACTCGCACACTCTCATTTTCTGTGCGCCCACAGATCGCGATAAGGAGAGTGACAGCTTTTAATAGTTATTAAAGGAGTTTGCCAATGTGATATTGGTTCAATACAACAGTTCAGTAAACAAGTACTGCCTGATTTTGCTCTATTTCTTAGAAAATAGTTCCAAATATAGTAACAGCTAAGCCGCTGCACATCTCTAAAAGCAAACACCGCGGTGTTTCATTCATTCAATGAAAGTGCGTTTTTGAAGGAATCTAGTGAGTCAGTGATTCATGATTACCCATTCATAAAGACAGCCACTTGCTTCATTCCTGAATGATTCAGCCGTTCGAACGAATCAATTAAATGAATGATTCAGTGATAAAATCAGTGACTTGTCCCCACCTGCTGGCGGATTTAGTTTCATTTTTAGTATAATTTCAGTTATTTAAATCATTTAATTTAAAAATTTTATATTTAAAACATTAATCTCCACATAAATGCATGAATTTAATTGCACTCATGCCACCTCTGAGCCTCATTAAACGTCTGAAAATGTACCTACAAGCCACTTTTGTGTTCTTGTGCACCACCTCTGTAGTACAAATTAATCTATTAATACTAATTTCATATGATTGGTAACCTATTTGTCTTATTCGACTTCTTATTATATTGTTTTATATAAAAATTTTAAAAAGCTTATAAACATAAATTTTTGAATTTGACATAGATGAAAAAGATGCCATTACAAAGGTAAAAAGAAAATACCTCTGTAAGTCACTTTGAGTCAAATGTCACCTCATATTAGGTGTAAATAATTTTGTATTATTTTAAATTAGGAGGACAAGCGCTCATAATTACAAGAAGAAGAATAAATGCTTTTAAACTGTGTGTGCCAGGTATGGCTGTGGAATGGGGTTTGGCTGAGGAAAAATTAGCTTTAACCCGTTTGTGGCGCTATTTCAAAAATTGTCCTATATGTTCTGTCAAAGACAGAATGAAACGACACTAATGGAGATGGGGTAGCATGAAAAAACCGTAGCGTATGTGTTGTTGATGCGCAGCCTCTAGCCTTGGGGACAATTTTCTTAAGCCCGCTCCCGCTGTATTTCTGACCATGGATTTTATTAAAGTCATTTGAACACGACTGCTCAAAATGGTCTAAATTTATGAAACCTACACATTCAAAACATTATTACGCTGAAATGTTAAGTGTAAGTGAAATGTTAAGTACTGTAAGGTGACTACATATGCTGGGGTGTTGATATAAAATAAATGGTGCTTTAAAAAGTCCTTGAATCTGGTGTTCATGAAAGAGTGGGAACCCTGTTTTTGAATAAAACTATTATTGAGTTATTTTTTTTATTTCAGTTTTAGTTTTTACTTTTGTTTTTCTTCAATTTAAATTTTTTTCACGCAATATTTATTTTATATCAGCTTTATTCCAGTTCACAAAAATGTTTTTAGTAGCTTTAGTCAACGATGATAACCCTGCTCTACACTTAACAAGCACAGAAAACCTTTTTAAAGCGTTGTTATTAAATGTGGTAATGATTTTTTGATTTCCCCTGTGTGGCTGCAGGATAACAGCCGTCGTGTGGAAAACGTGCTGAAGCTGTGGATCATCGAGGCCCGTGATCTCCCTCCGAAGAAGCGCTATTACTGCGAGCTGTGTCTGGATGACATGCTGTACGCGCGAACCACCAGCAAACCGCGCACAGACACCGTGTTCTGGGGCGAACACTTCGAGTTCAACAACCTGCCGGCCATCCGCAGCCTCAGACTGCACCTGTACAAGGAGACGGACAAGAAGAGACGCAAGGTCTGCTCATACATGAGTTCTGATAAAGCGCTTTACACTTCAACTAGATTCAGTTCTACCATGCAAACCCATTCATTATAAAGCGGAGAGTTCCGGTGCTTGACTCTGATTGGCTGAGCCGCGTTCGAAGCTGTTGTAAATGACGCTACAAAGTAACACACACCTTTGTTTACGTTTGTGTGTTGCTCGGCAGCTACTTTGTAGCAACCACAACTGTTTCTGAGGAGCTACATTGTTTGGTGGAAGAATACTGTGTTTATTAATATCATTACACTTTATTTGCTCTGCTTTATTTTGTGAAACCTTACATCAATTAAATGAATGATTCAGTGATAAAATCAGTGACTTGTCCCCACCTGCTGGCGGATTTAGTTTCATTTTTAGTATAATTTCAGTTATTTAAATCATTTAATTTAAAAATTGTATATTTAAAACATTAATCTCCACATAAATGCATAAATTTAATTGCACTCATGCCACCTCTGAGCCTCATTAAACGTCTGAAAATGTACCTACAAGCCACTTTTGTGTTCTTGTGCACCACCTCTGTAGTACAAATTAATCTATTAATACTAATTTCATATGATTGGTAACCTATTTGTCTTATTCGACTTCTTATTATATTGTTTTATATAAAAATTTTAAAAAGCTTATAAACATAAATTTTTGAATTTGACATAGATGAAAAAGATGCCATTACAAAGGTAAAAAGAAAATACCTCTGTAAGTCACTTTGAGTCAAATGTCACCTCATATTAGGTGTAAATAATTTTGTATTATTTTAAATTAGGAGGACAAGCGCTCATAATTACAAGAAGAAGAATAAATGCTTTTAAACTGTGTGTGCCAGGTATGGCTGTGGAATGGGGTTTGGCTGAGGAAAAATTAGCTTTAACCCGTTTGTGGCGCTATTTCAAAAATTGTCCTATATGTTCTGTCAAAGACAGAATGAAACGACACTAATGGAGATGGGGTAGCATGAAAAAACCGTAGCGTATGTGTTGTTGATGCGCAGCCTCTAGCCTTGGGGACAATTTTCTTAAGCCCGCTCCCGCTGTATTTCTGACCATGGATTTTATTAAAGTCATTTGAACACGACTGCTCAAAATGGTCTAAATTTATGAAACCTACACATTCAAAACATTATTACGCTGAAATGTTAAGTGTAAGTGAAATGTTAAGTACTGTAAGGTGACTACATATGCTGGGGTGTTGATATAAAATAAATGGTGCTTTAAAAAGTCCTTGAATCTGGTGTTCATGAAAGAGTGGGAACCCTGTTTTTGAATAAAACTATTATTGAGTTATTTTTTTTATTTCAGTTTTAGTTTTTACTTTTGTTTTTCTTCAATTTAAATTTTTTTCACGCAATATTTATTTTATATCAGCTTTATTCCAGTTCACAAAAATGTTTTTAGTAGCTTTAGTCAACGATGATAACCCTGCTCTACACTTAACAAGCACAGAAAACCTTTTTAAAGCGTTGTTATTAAATGTGGTAATGATTTTTTGATTTCCCCTGTGTGGCTGCAGGATAACAGCCGTCGTGTGGAAAACGTGCTGAAGCTGTGGATCATCGAGGCCCGTGATCTCCCTCCGAAGAAGCGCTATTACTGCGAGCTGTGTCTGGATGACATGCTGTACGCGCGAACCACCAGCAAACCGCGCACAGACACCGTGTTCTGGGGCGAACACTTCGAGTTCAACAACCTGCCGGCCATCCGCAGCCTCAGACTGCACCTGTACAAGGAGACGGACAAGAAGAGACGCAAGGTCTGCTCATACATGAGTTCTGATAAAGCGCTTTACACTTCAACTAGATTCAGTTCTACCATGCAAACCCATTCATTATAAAGCGGAGAGTTCCGGTGCTTGACTCTGATTGGCTGAGCCGCGTTCGAAGCTGTTGTAAATGACGCTACAAAGTAACACACACCTTTGTTTACGTTTGTGTGTTGCTCGGCAGCTACTTTGTAGCAACCACAACTGTTTCTGAGGAGCTACATTGTTTGGTGGAAGAATACTGTGTTTATTAATATCATTACACTTTATTTGCTCTGCTTTATTTTGTGAAACCTTACTACGTATATGGAGTAACCGTTTTATAAACGCAATAATCCCCGTGAAGCCGTAGTTTACAGTCAATTTACAAATTACAGCTAATTAAATTTCACTAATCATCTGAATTCATAAAATGATATAATTTATTAAATTTTTATCAGTAATGGAGCCTATGACATCAGTTTTATTTTTTCCTGATTTCCATGTTTTCCTTTTTAATTCCATTTTAATGCTTTAATTAACTTTTAATATCAAAAAGCATATCTAATCAATTGAGTTAAAAAACTTTACCAATTTAATCATTTATTACACTTTGAACAATAATAGGCAACTATTAATATTTTTTTATTCTGTACAAAAACGGTGGTAATCAAATAAATGCATAACTTTAACTAATTAATCGTTTTTGAATGTAAAAAGAATTACATTTTAAGATTTTATTTTTTAAAATAATTGTACTTTTATTTGTTAATTAAATCTGAACTCATTTTCATTTAGTTTAACTTGATGTTCTAAAACAACTAAAACTGAAATAAACAAAATTAATAAAAAACTATAGACAAAACTAAAACAAAACAAAATTACTTTAAAATTTAAATGAAAGCAGAAAATATAAAAATAAAATCTAATTCAGAATATTAACAAACTATAATGGTACCTCTGATAATAAAGCAACACTGCATGAAACCACAAAACATTTCATATTTAAGTTTTTGTAACAGACAGTGGCGGCTGGTGCTAAAAAATATTGAGGGGGGGGCAAACAAACTGAATCACACTTAATGCAGGCAGCGGGACTGAATGCTATTGTTAAATAACCATTTAAAAAGTGACATAATAATGTATCATTACTGCTTAGCTAAAAAATGGAAGTTGAAAATTCAACAGTTAAAGCATGAAATAAGTTCCCACGAATCAGTGAGTTTAATGTGGGTGTATTGTTAGTAAAGTAATCATTAAACGTGTAATCATTCAAAAAATATCAGCCATTTATATTAATGTGATTCAGAGATGAAGGCCATAATACTAATGTTGTCCACACGAGGGAGCCACAGGATATCAAATCCTTCAAGATCTCAGTTTAAAGACTGAGAAAATGGTTCATTAAATTGACTTGTAGTAAAAAATTGCATATAAATTAATTTTTTCATCAAGTTTAATAAAGCCCAATATAATAAGTATGCAAAAACTGTAATCCCCTAAAAACTTACACCATTATTTTTTATCTTCATTTTAATGGTATTGACAACATATTTGTCAAGTTGTCAGACATGATTGAATGTATGTCCAATTTATCTATTTTGATATTGTGCATATACCAATACTTCCATAAAGACTCATATTTTACTTGAAAAGAACATTGGATAACTATATCATCCACACAAGCCATTCTGCTTGGACCCCGATGATCGCCTCAAGTTAAACTGCAGTGTTTCGGTTTCCTTCTGTGTCGCTGTCCACAATGCTTCAGAAACAGGACTTTAACAAACAGGGAAAACAATAAAAGGCATGACTTGCATCGCGTCCGGCTAGCCAACTCCGTCCAAGCTCCATGATCCCTATTTTAATTAATTTATTTTTTTCTTCATTTAAATGCCTCGTGAAAGGATTTTTTGTGAAGATAAAATCAAATGTACTTTCGTCTCAGAAGAGAGAGATCCAATCACTATGAGGCCAAAATATATAAAAACAATACTGATTCGCTAAAATCAGAAGTGGGAGGGTCTGGGGCGCAGTGCTAGTACAATCTGAAACAAGCCAATTAGAGATTCATTCAAAATAGGGATGGGTCACGATTTTTAATAGTAAAAAACAACACCACTAACAAACATCTAATCTTGTGAAATGTGTGGTAAGTACTGTCGAGTGCTGCTCCGTATGTGATCGCGAATCTCGGAAGTGAAAGTAAAAAGCAAGCGCACGTTCAAAAGCGATTTCAATGGCCCGCATATTAATAACAACTCCCTGATGCCCGCAGTTTATACACAGTATAATTACCCAACGATATAATTGCGACAGAAGATATTAAAGTATATTTTTCCTCCCGTCTCGTATCTATTCCCTTTAGGGGTTCCATTTTTTAAAATGGAAATGTACTAGCTTTATGAGCAGTTGATTTATGCTAACCGACGGACTGTTATGTTAATAAGTGCCGTCTTTCGGTTGTGTTTATTATATTAATATGATTCAGCACGTTACAGTCATTATATGGCTTGAGTTAAGGTAGCCTGTGTTCTGAATTTAACAGTTTATCATACAGATTAAAAGCGTGAATCCCGTCTCTCTCCATCTCTCTCAGTTTATGGGTGTTTGTGCGTGTATGTGGGGGAGGGGTGCGATTTTCGAATAATAGTCGAATAATACCCAGCGATTTTCGAATATTATTTTTGCTTGGAATGCCCATCCCTATTTCAAAAGTTTACTTTTACTTAAGACTTAATAGACACCCATTTGTCCGGCGCCCCGCGCACACACAACAAACCAAATAGAGTTAGATTTTTTTTATTTTTAATAGGTACAGTGCTAACATGATTACCAGTCAAATAGTATGACTATGGAGCCAGATCAGCCTCAAAAATAACACATTTGCAAAACAAAATTCATAAATGCACAGCACAATTTACATTTACAAAATCCAATTCGTAAATTCAAAACACAATTCATAAATACACAAGTAAAAGCATAAATATTTCCCCAAACGCTCACACAAATGCATCTTACCTAAATACATTTAAAATGTTTACACAAATATGTATATATCAAGTTCTTGAATTAATTTCCATCACACATTTATGAATGATGTTACATGTATTTATGGATCGTTGAATCTGCATTTGCAGATCGTCACACGTGCGTGGACCGCTTTGAATTTGTGTGCGGTATTTTTGAGACCTTCCTGGCAGGTTAAGATTCACAAATATCTTTTTTTGGAGGATGTTCCGTTCAGCCAATCGCGGTGAGCTTTTAATCCACCAATCAAAACGCTCTTTACTGAACAGACTCGAGAAGCTCAAGCTGCGCTTGTACTGTGCAGTGTTCCATGATCGGGTCCTTGATGTAAAGACAGTTTAATGGGTCCTCTTTTTTTTTTAGCACCAGATTACAATTTCTACAAAATCACATTATGATTTATATCATTCGCACAAATACAGCTACCCGGTTAGCCTGTAAGTTGGTAAATTGCACATACCCTGTTTATTCAGATCAATCTGTAATGTTATCAAATAAGTGTTAAATCAAATAAGAAAATGCCATCAGATAAGAAAACGACTTTACTCACTGATTGAGTGTGGTTTTCATCCTCCGTGCTAAATCTCTTCGCTGTGTGTGTTAGAAATCTCCCTTAGGTGGTGATAGCTGTTACTCAAGCTGCGCTTGTACTGTGCAGTGTTCCATGATCGGGTCCTTGATGTAAAGACAGTTTAATGGGTACTCTTTTTTTTTTAGCACCAGATTACAATTTCTACAAAATCACATTATGATTTATATCATTCGCACAAATACAGCTACCCGGTTAGCCTGTAAGTTGGTAAAGTGATTTTGTTTGTAATCAGGTGCTAAAAAAAGAATACACATTAACAGTGTTGGACAGTAACACATTACTTAGTAACGCTTTACTGTTATAGGATTTCATTTTAAGTAACGGAGTAATTTAATGCGTAATATATTTTAAAAATAGTAATTATAGGCTATACTATATCGACCTATACTTACAGACTTCAATTTGGTTAGTGGAGAGTGCGAACATTAACGTTCCATACATCGCAAGACCCTGAATATCTTTGTGAACACAAGCACAGGCAGAACAAACCAGCAGGAAGCAGTACTACCATCTTTCTCCTTATTGTATAATGTTACAAAAGCTTTTTATTTCAGATAAATGCTGATCTTTGGATCTTTCTGTTCATCAAAGAATCCTGAAAAAAAAATACTCAACTGTATATTGATAATCAGCATATTATTAATGTGCTTCAGCCAGGATAAAGAATATGAAAAGTGCTCCGAGTTTCTGCAGAAAAAAAAGAGCAACAACAAAAACATGTTGCTGGAGACGGGCTTATTGAAAATTGAAAAACTGCTTGTCTGCCAGCAGGAGGCGCTGTGAGAGCGGCAGAACTAGCGGTTTCTCCAGTAACGGCTGTAATCACAGCAGCTCCGCTCATGAACGCTTCTTTATCAGATCAAATGAAAATGTCATCGAAACTTTTCTGAAGACAGTCGGTTCCCTTCAGAGATAGGGCGCCACGTTTTGATTTTGAAACATGCAGCACTCATGTTTATTCAACGAAGTCAAACGCCACAAATACATCGATGTATGGGAAACACTGGTAATGTATATCGAAATATCGGAAATGTGTTTAAAAATCATATCACCGTTATTGAAAATAATTATATCGCGATACATATTGATATTGAATTATTGTCCAGCCCTAAGTATGACTAAATAATGCAATTTCGTGATTATTTTGCAATATATTTTTAACATTTTGAAGTAGGCTTCTGGCTAACTTGAGGGAGGCAGCGCCCCCTATTGACCAGCCGCCACTGGTAACAGATGCTGTTTTAGAGAGTTTGCCATGAATACGGCTAGAGAAATTAATATGCAAAAAAAAGATGGCTAAATAAGCCTCTAAAATATGCAGTGTGTCTTTAAAAAAAAAAAGCAAAATACAGTTTGATGGCTGCTAATTCGGGGTTAAAGTTGGACCTCAGTTGTGACCTTCTGGAGTCTGTACGTTCAGATGTGTGTGTGTGTGACGCAGGAGAAGAGCACGTATCTGGGGCTGGTCACTATCCCGATCCCCAGTATAACGGGCCGTCATTTCGCGGAGCAGTGGTATCCGGTCATCCAGCCCAGCGTTCTGGCTAAAGGCGGCGGCGTGGGCAGCGGGAAGATCATCAACGCCTCGCTGCGCCTCAAGTGCCGCTACCAGACCATGAGCATCCTTCCCATGGAGCTGTACAAGGAGTTCGCAGAGTACGTGACCAACAACTACCGGACTCTGTGCGGCGTCCTGGAGCCGCTGCTGAGCGCCAAGAGCAAGGAGGAGGTGGCCTGTGCGCTGGTGCACATCCTGCAGAGCACCGGCAAAGCCAAGGTCAGCCGCACTCACGCCAGCGCTGTCATAGAGCATTCACACCAGCCATATCTACAGGAGCCCATATAAACAGACAGGAAAAACACATGCAGAGCAGTTGCTAGAAATTCTATTTAGATTTATTTTACGTAATATTTACTAAATTGTATACTATGAAAATGTAATTTAAAAATATGGTATAGTATTTTATAGACTTTGTTAAAAATGCGAATAAAAGGAAGTAAACACTATAACTGATAGTGCACTCGGTAAGTTTGTAAGATCTCAGCGCCGTCAAAATAAAAGTCCCGCTTCCATCCTATTGTTCAAACAAGAATGCCAAATAGCGGCCGATATATCGGTTGACCACTAATTGATTTACTATTACGGTTTTTATTAATATTTTGAATTAGGTTTTTTCTGTTTTCATTTAAATTGTAGTAATTTTGTTGTGCATTTTTGTCATTTTTATTAATTATTGTTTTTTTATAGTCTATATGTGTCCCTGCAGCACAAAAGCAGTGTTGAGTCGCTGGGGGATATTTGTAGCAATAGCCAACAATACATTGTATGGGTCACAATTATACATTTCTCTTTTATGCCAAAAATCATTAGGATATTAAGATCATGTTCCATGAAGATATTTTGTAAATGTCCTACCGTAAATATATCAACACTTAATTTTTGATTAGTAATATGCATTGCTAAGAACTTCATTTGAACAACTTTAAAGATGATTTTCTCAATATTTAGATGTTTTTGCACCCTCAGATTCCAGATTTTCAAAAAATATTGTCCGATCCTAACAAACCATACATCAATGGAAAGCTTATTTATTCATCTTTCAGATGATGCATACATCTCAATTTCAAAAAATTGACCCTTATGACTGGTTTTGTGCTCCAGGGTCACAAATAGTTTTTATTTTATTTTAGTTTTAGTTTTTAAATAATGCCTGGTAATGATTTTATCAGTAAATAAGAGCAAAAATTATACTGGATAGCATATATTCTAAAAATTATATTTTCTAAATAAATATAATCAGTGTCAGTATTATTTTAAAACTTAGATGAGTTTAAAATATTTCAACTGTATGCAGTCAGTGAGAAAGTGTGGGAAACGTAATCCTGTGTTTTAGCATTAGAGAGTTAATGAAATGCTGCGTTTATCAGATGTTAAATATCATCTAAAAAAATCTGGAAAAGTATGGAAGTTTGAAGTTGAAAATGTTTAGGACACAGGGTTATTAGAGTAAAACTAAAATCATTAAAAAAAGCTTTTTTTGTTACTTCAAATAAAATGTTTTATTTCAGCTAGTTGCCATCAGTTCTCATTTTCATGTAGTTTAATGTGGTGTACTAAAAAATAACTGAAACTAAATAATACAAATTATGCAGACATAATTAAAACACAAACATTAAAAACTTTTTTAAAAATTCAAAGTATTGATAAAACGACGATGTATGGTCACAGAGATCTGACGATACGAGTATCGTTACAGCTGGCCCTGTATTAATATTGTGGCACGTGTGCAGCAGTGGACTGCGCTTAATTTGAATACAAGAACGTTTAAAATGGAGTAGAAAAGTGTGAGGTTTCTAAAAGATAATGAATAGAGCATAATATATAGGCTACAACAAGGTTTAATCTGGCCGCAGAGGAACACTACGGGGTTGCCTGATGTAAAGAGACGTAATCCCCGACACAGAGCTTCACACTTGCGCAATACGGAAATATCTGCTAGGTGTGCTACTTATCTTTGTCAACCTGGCAACCAGTGTTGGGGGTTACGTAATCAGATTACTTTTTTTCAAGTAACTAGTAAAGTAACGCATTACTTTTTAATTTACAAGAGAATATCTGAGTTACTTTTTCAAATAATTAACGCAATAACGCAACTCAGAATATGAACCTAAATAAAACCTGCAATAATTAAATGTTCAACAACACAAATATGCTTTATGTATTTAATCCCATTCTATTTGCTTCTGACCTTCGATGATGCAGTTCAAGCGTACTAATAATCACACATTACTCTAGACAGCACTTGTGTGTCTTTGTTTATTGCTGAAGTGTGTTGAAATGTCTTCTGCTGCATTCTACTGTACTTTCCCTTCAGCCTGAGGCGCATTCATTTCACTTTTGCTGTGAAAGGCTTTTATATTTGCCAAAAATAGAACTTTTTATTTTAAAAACAAACAAGCAAGCCCTGTCCGGATTTAAAAAGTAACGCAAAAGTAACGTAACGCATTACTTTCCATAAAAAGTAACTAAGTAACGTAATTAGTTACTTTTTTATGGAGTAACGCAATATTGTAACGCATTACTTTTAAAAGTAACTTTCCCCAACACTGGTGGCAACGCGCTTGCTTTCTGAAAACACTGCTAAGCTTGCAGTTAGCGTGTGTGTGTGTTTAGATACAGAAGACAGCGTTAGTTTAGCACTCTTCTCATTTTTATTTATATTTTTTAAACGTAGAGAGTGTGTTAATTTGTGCAATGATAACCTACCAGCAATGTAAAGATGATTTTTTAAATGAATGAGTACATTACAATATAAATTTATTAGAACGAGTACATTATTATTTATGGGCTTAAAAACAAGATGCAAACAATCGAGGAGTGCCCCAAAGTAAACATGAAACACATGCCATTACCTATATTGTACTGTGGTACAGTTCTGGAGGCCCTTCATAATGCAGAGCTCAGCTGCTGCT